ACCTGTTTCTCAGACACAAGATTAATATCCAGAATATATAAAGAACTCAAAAACTTAACCCTAAGACAAAAAGAAAAAAAAAAACAACTGGGCAAAGAACTAAATAGACACCTCTCAAAAGAAGAAATACATACAATGGCCAACAAATATTTGAAAAAAATGCAGATTAAAACTATAATGAGATTTCATCTCATTCCAATCAGAATTATCAAGAATACAATTATCAAGAATACAAATAATAAAAACAAATGTTAGCAAGGTGGTGGGGAAAAAGGTACACTAATGTTTTTTGGGGGACTGCAAATTATTGCAACCATTCTGGAAAACAGTATGGAAATTCCTCAAAAAACTAGTAATTGAAATACCATAAGAGGCAGCAATCCCACTTTTCAGTATTTATCCAAAAGAACTAAAATCACATACTGTAGTGATACAGCCACATTAATGTTTATAGCAGCACAATTTACAACAATCAGGTAATGGAACCAGCCCAGATTCTTATTAGCAGATGAATAGATAAAGAAAATGTGATACACACACACACACACACACACACACACACACACACACAACTGAGTCTAACTCAGCCATAAAGAAGAACAAAATTATGTCATTTGAAGGAAAATGAATAGAACTAAAGAATACCACGCTAAGCAAAATAAGCCAGACTCAGAAAATCAAGGAGATTGAATGCTTTCTCTCATATTTAGAAGCTTGACCAAAATAAGTGGGAAAGGTGTATTAGGGGAATCCTATGAAAATAGATCAGTGGAGTAGAAAAGGGGATTGAAAGGAAGGGAAGATGGGAAAAAGGAGGACTGGTGGAATGAAATCGACCAAACTAGCCTATGTACCTATATGAATATACCACAGTTAATTTCACCTCAATGTTTAGCCATAAAACATTAATTTTAAAAAATATTTTTTTTAGTTTTAGGTTGACACAATATCTGTATTTTATATTTATGTGGTGCTAGATCAAATCCAGTGCCTCATGCATACAAGGTGAGGACTCTACCACTGAGCCACAACCCCAGCCCCTAAAGCACTAATTGAAAAAAAAAAAAGCAAATAAATAGAAGGAAGCATTAGAGTAGAGGAAAGGGAACAGGAGAAGGGAGGAAAGTGGAGAAAGAGGAAGCACTGAGAACTGAATTGGAGCAAATTATAATCCACACTTATACATTACATCAGAATGCACTATAATTTGATGACAAAAAATTTAATTACAAAACACACATGAAATATTCACCATAAGTCTCACATCAGGCACAACAAACAACAGGGTTAAAACCCCAAGAACTTGAACTACTTCAATAGTAATATTATACACACACACACACACACACACAAACACACAAACACACACACACACACCTAAATTGATGATAAAGATGGAAACCATTGGGAAATAACAAGATTCTGAAAAAAAAAAGATGACAAGAAGAAAAGAAGAAAAATCAAAGTACAATTTTTAGAAATGAGAAATGCGGAGGTTTAAGTTAAAAACTCAATAGCTCATTAGCAGGTTAGAACTGGCTGCGACAGTTGTAAATTGAAGAGGGTTCCGAGCAATTTTCCAGAAAGGAGCTCAGAGTCTGAAGAGATGGAAAAAAAGAAAGAAATTCTAGGCACCATGGGGATGTGGTGAGAGGTTCCAGCATTTATCTAAGAGGAGGTAAGCAAGAGAGGACAGAGAGAACGGACATGGGCAATATGCAATATGTTATTCAATGTTCGGTGACTGAATAAACTTCCAGAAGAGACAGAGGCATGTATTTTCAGGTGGAAAGCATAGAGGCCCAAGGAGTTTAACCAAATACAAATCTATTCTGTTTCAAGGGAACACTTTGGTCAAACTATAGGCAGACCCTTGTATGCCAGCATCAAATCAATTAAAAATATTTTATAAGGTAATAAACAAAGAGCTCATAACTCAATTACGGTAAAGAGGAATGAAGAAAGCACATTATTTTTTTTAATGAAGTCCCCCAAGTTTAAGCCCCTTAAAAAGGAAAAAAATTGGAATACCTGCAATTGGCAGTCATCACTGTTTTTATGGGACTTCTTGAGGCAGCTCCCCCCTAGCACTATGTCCCATTAACTTCCAATTAGCATTCAGAAAGGGACACATCTAGAAAACAAAAGATTAAAAGGAATGTGTGTGCATGCCTGCATGTGTATGTATGCATCTCAAGAGTGTTTGTGTTGGGCTCTCTGTTTGTTTGGGTATGTGTAGAAAAGTAAAGGAAAAGCACGGATGTGGACGTGGCCATGTGGCATTGCATCCTGGAAACTGCACAGCAGTGCACCTGTTCTGCTCCCAAAACAGCACCATCCTGGTGACGGAGGGAGGAAGGGTCCTTTTAGCAGTGCATGCTGAGATTGCTGCACTCATAAACCCCAATTCTCACATCAGGTGTAGGAGAAAGAAAGGAAGACAGACAGAAAGCAGTGAATGCAGGCAGAAATTTCTGCTGTGGCATCTTCATGTATAACTTTAATAATTTGAGACACTGCACTCACAACAAGATATGGATAGATTTGGGTTCAGAAATTCTAGTAAATGAATAAAAAAAATCACAGCTGAGCATCTGGAAAGATAATTGTCTCCTAGGAGTAAATGATTATGGCTGTAACCTCCTTACTGAAAGTCCAATAGCACGAGTGTTTTATTACCTTAATTGAGCTTTAATCTGAAAATGACACAGCAAGACTTTTGGTTTCAAAGGAAACAGAAAAAAAAAAAACATGTATTTTCCAGATATCTTTAGAAAGCTATTATATAGAATGAATCCGAATGATTGCCACCTATTCTTTTATTAGGATCCCATAAGTACTGTCTGATGGGTCTAATCCTCAGTAATACTATAGAATAGTAGGTAAGAGCTCAGATCCTAGAGCTAAACACCGAAGTCCCAGTCCTGCACTCACAATTCATTATTGGTGCTTTCCTAACAAGTGACATTATCTTTGTGCTTAAATCCCTCTACTTATAAAAATGAGAGAGTGGGAATAAAAATAGTCTCTACCTCATGGAGTTGTTCTAAGGGTTGGATGAGTTAAAGTGTGTTATGTGCTTGGTTAAAGCCTGCTTGGTAGTATTATAGAACTGTTAAACCCACTTTCCAAAATTTCCACAAGAATCTGTATAACCTCAAAGTGCTTGCTAATAGCAAATGGAGTCAATAAGAGAAAATGCTAACTGGTTTTCTTATTACTGCTTTCCCACCTCCAGGAAAGAGTCTCGATATTTTGTTTCCCTAAAGTGTCCCTGAGGATAGTTGTATTATTGTTACCACTTTTTTGATGGCTTTCTCAGTGAGTAGCAGACCCCCCCCCAAATCATCAGCATCAAGTTTGGCCATGTTACGTGTTTTAGACAAGAAACTGTGAGCAGAAGTGATATGAGAAATTTGCAAAGAGAAACCTTAAGAGTATTTCATGGTTGTACTCTTTGCCATTAGGCCAGATAGGAGCAGTTCCAACAACACAAATCCACTGGGAAGAAGATAGAAATCACAACCATATCCAATCTGCATGAAACATGGCTAAGAAACACACCATTGGGAGGCAAGCTCACAGAGAGTTTGGAGATACTTGTTAGTAACATATAACTTGCCTAAGCTGACTAATACAAGGGAAGATGGGAAAAAGTGCTAGTTGTAATAGAGGCAGAAACTGTGCATCAGGGGCAGAGAGAAATCGTCCAAGACTGAAGGAGGGTTCCCTCACCACCACCCCCAGGGACCAAAACTTATTCCCCCATATTCCTGCCATCTCTCTGCCTAGGATAGAAAACTGACATGAAGAAAACAAGCAGCTTGATGCATTTAATTATGAAGAAAGGCTAAAGACATAGGCTTCTAGTCTCTGCAGACATGCTCTTGGTTACCTATCTTCAAAGGACCAATTATGTTGACTTTCCCACACAGGCATATCATGATGACCACCGTATTTCACAAGTTAAAGCATCTCCCTGAAAGATCTGGACTGTGTAAACTGGACATTAGGACATTAGCTGTACCATTAGGACATTTCTGACAAAACTTCTATACCCAATAATGAATGAGATTTCATTTCTCACTCACCCTAGCAAGATTGGGACTCTGATTGACAACAGTGAACTAATCTAAAATATCTAGTATAAATTTATGGCTGCTATTTACTTGATTCTAGAGACCTCACTTCCATTTTAAGAACTCCTTTAAAAAAAATGCAAGCGATTATATTACCTGGTATTGATGCAATAACTGGATTAGGGACCTTATAATATTATAGTTCCTGTGGTGATGAAGTTCTGACATGCAATTTATTACTCATGAGTAACGTACAATTAATGTTTCATTGGCTGATATCTTCATCTTCTCCACTTCCTTCAGAACTCTTTGGATTGTTGACTACATCCACCTACTTTCCCATCCCAGGGTGCTGATTTTAGCTTCTTATCTTGTATATTAACATCCATCAGCTTTTCTTACTATCAAAATAATCTCAAATTCATTCATTCCATGAAAATAATTAAATTATTTGCTACCTAGATAAATATATTCCTGATAAAATAGTATGTTAATGGCAGAGGAGCCCAACAGAATAATAAACCTGGCAAGAGCCAGTTCCCACCAGAATAGAAACACACTATTATTTTTTCCATCTCTCATTTCTCTGATCTTATTTGAAAATATTTTCTTGATTTTGTTTTTACTCAAAGCCAACATACAATTTCTCTAACTTTCCTTTACACAAAAGCTGCTTGAAAATTTTGTTAATTCTTAGTATTTCCAATTTTCTCACTTCTTTCTTTTTCCCAGTGCCCCACTCAACCTCCTGTTACCAAATGTCCCTGATGGGATCCATATTGTGTAACCCACCAATGGACATTTGGCCCTCATCTTTTGTGACTGTTAGCAACATATGTGAGAAACATGGCGTCTCTCTTCCAGGAAACTCTTCTTACATGGCTTTCTGTGGGCATCTTCCCTGGTTTTCTTTGTACCTACCTGGCAGTTGCTTCTCTAATCTTTTGTTGGTTCTTCATCTTGACCTTGTCTTGACACTGGAAGGCTCCAGTACTCAGTCTTCAGATCTCTTCCCTTCTCTGCATTTTCCTTTCTCACCCCTTTCAAGATGTCATTCATTTTCATGTTTCAGATAACCTCTTCATGCTGTTGATTCCAAAATATACAACTTGGGAGGCTGAAACAGAAGGATGGAAAGTTTGAGGCCAGTGTATGCAATTTAGCAAGAACTTGTCTCAAAATAAAGACTTGGGATGTAGCTCAATGGTAGTCTCCCCGTGGGTTCAATCTCCTGTAATGTAAAACAAACAAAATATTTATCTTCAGCATCAACATCTCCTCTGATTCACATATGCAAACACTTTCTCAAGATCTTCCATTAGATATCTTTCACAAATCTCAAATTTATCCAAAATTAGAATGCAGGTCTTCACCTGGTCCAACCTACTATCATCTTTGACATAGAATATTACTGTAGTTTCCAACTAGTCTTCCTTCCTTCGCTTTTATGCCTTCCTATGCAGTCCATTATCAACAAAGCAGTCAGAAGGTTCCTGCTGAAGAACAGATGATCTCACTCCTCTTCTTGCTGATCTCCACAGATTCCCAATAATCTAGATGTCTCTGTCAAAAGTCATAACTCTTCCTGGCACTCTTTTATTCTTTATTCCTTTTTTTTCCCCTTTAATATAGCCAGAGTACTTATCCCTTTCTCATATACCTTATCAGGTCTTATGTATTATGATTTCTTTTATTGTTTGTTGAATGTGAGAGCCAGAAATTTTACTTTTGTTTATTGAACATCTAGAAGAGTAAAGTGTACATCAGATGCTCAATAAATAACTCATTGAGTAAATGAATGAGTAAAGTGTTGGCAATCCCAGGCCGCTACTCTCAGGTTTGGCTAATGTATACTGCAGCAGGTGGGCCTAGGCAGGAGCCCCATCCCTCCCCAGGACTGGATCAAACACTGCATGACCTTAAGGTCCTTAAATTTTGTGTCAGAGGTACCTTACTTACTCACCTAGTCCCAAACCTGGCCAAGTGTGAAAAAGTCTGCTCCTTAATTAAACATATTTAAAAAATATGATAATAGAGAAACAAAAAAAGTGATTCAGTGTATTTTGAATTGCATCCCCCATAGATCTGGGCACATACATTTTTGTTTGTTTTCATGGAACACTCTACTGATCAGAACAGAAATAGGGGGAAAGATTCATTGCTTCTGGGGAATGCAGGTGCCTCTAGGAAGGGAAACATTGTGATTACCATATTTTTTTTAAAAGGTTATTTGAATCTACAGCAAAAATGTTGTGAAATTGTACATTAATTTTTGGAAAACATTAGAATGTAATTATTTACTCTGCTTGCTGCTAGATATAATATCCAGTGCAGCTCAGTTCAGCTCAATTATTAACACTTTGCTTCTCAACTGTGCAAAGGTCATTTAGTTGTCGGGAAACTCTTCCTAAGCTTCCTGAGTTAACATTCAAAGGACTTTCTGAGAAGCAGGAAGCCATAGGCATGCCATTCACACATTCAGAAACTGCACTGGACCTCTAACTGGCAAAAACTCTTTTGTATTCAGATTGTAATAGGGCTGTCTGCTTAGGTTTTAATATTGAATTCACCAGAAAAAAAAGCCCCCCATAAAGATCCACTGTGTGACCTAGTACCTCAACTACATCCAAAATGCTACTCTCTACTTCTTGGTATAAAGGTTTCCAAGGAGAAAAGGGAACACCTTGGGTTTTTGTTTATGTTCATTTGCTTGTTTGTTACCTGCTGGCCTAGCAATTGCAGCAGAGATTTGGAACTTCAACAGAGAAAGCTTAAGCCTTCATCAAATTAAAAACCCTTCTGATTGCTTTGATGTGTATAGTTTTGTTGTTTTCTTTCATTTAAGTTGAAAAATAAAATTGGTATTTGAAGTGCCCATAGCATTATAATGAACATTAGTTATAATGGCAATGACCTCAGACCAGGAAGTAATGTGGAAGTACATACGAAGGATCCTCTTCAGGACACTTTCATTAAAAGCAACCTATCTGTCCTACCTTATGACCACAAGTCTGTTCAATTTAGCATTCATTAAAAATGGGTACTGTTGATATGCAGAGCCCCAAGCTCACTTCTGAGTCTGAGTCCCTCATTTAAACGTATCCTGGGGAGCGAAAGACAAAGGCCGCCTCTTTCTCCAGACACCAACTTCAACCTGCATGGAATATTTCTGTCCTTTGTAATTGATAAATCAGAGAATCAGGCTTAGAAAGAAAAAAAAAAAAAAAACATCCCACAGTCTCTAAGTATCATTGTGGAGAGGGCACCATAAAGAAACATCTAGCAGAAACATATGTTTGCAGATACTTTTTATATCCCAAAGCGGGGTGGGGAGGATCGCACTATAGGATTGCAATTTACATTTGGATTGTTTATTTATACGTTAAACACAAAGTCCCTAGGAGAAGTGTTGCTTCCAGCACACACAGCAGGCCTGAACAGCCAACTGGTGCCAGCAGCACACCTTCCTCCTCTGCAGACCTGGCAACTCAGTCCCCCACCTGTCATGCAAATGACTTTGCCTTCTAGATATCCCAGGCTCCAGCCAAACTCCTTGAGTTTCTTAGGCAGCTGCTAATCTCACCTTGTGCCTAAAACACAGATCTGCAGTAAACTTGCTGCACATCAATCTACTCTGCCACTTGCTGATTTTGTGACATGACTTGAGGACTCTAAATCTCAGTGTTTTCTTTTGTTACATTGGAGTCATGATAGCTCTACTCTCTTTTAGTTTTTTCCAAGGTCCATGTGAAGAGTTTGACTCAGTGCATGGCACAGAGTAAGTATAGTTGTGGGGGTTGGTTCCAGGACCCCCTCAGATACCAAAATCTTCAGATGCTCAAGTCCTTTATAGAAAAGGACATACTAAATAGAATAAAAAAATTTAACAAAAGGGCATATTATTCTCATATAACTACTCACATCCTCCCATACATTTTAAATCATCTCTAGATTACTTGCATTGCCTAATGCAATGTAAATGCCATGTATTTAGTTTTTATACTGTATTGTTTAGGGAATTATGACAAGGGAAAAAGTCTGTACATGTTCAACAGAAAAGCAATTTATTTTTTTTTCTGGTATTTTCCACTTGGTTGAATCCATAGATGCAGAACTCAGATACAGAAGACTGACTTTACTGAATAAATACTTCCTATTATTATTATTTCTTACTGGCACCATAGAACATTTGCTTCCAAGTTATTTGCCATAAAGAAAACCCTAAAATTCCAGTAATATACTTAGGATTTCTTGGCCTTTAACCAGTTTAGGGTTCAACTAAAAGTAGAGCCCAAAACAAAGGTTCAATTGATTGATTTGGGAGTTGATGTCAGGGATGTTGAGAAAGTGGGGAAGTGAGGATAGGGAGGAGCAAAGCTAGTTAAGGTGTGTTAATGGCACTGTCATGTGCAGAAGCCAGGTCACAACCATTCAACTTTTTGAGAATTTTGCAAGCCATTTGTTAAACACAGTCATTGTTTAAAAAAATAAATAAATTATAATCACATATCTTTTGATGATGGATAACTCCTGAGAAATGCAAAACACTAAGTTATTTCATCATTGTGTGACCATCAGAGTGTACTTACACAAACCTAGATGGTACTGCCTACTACACATCTATGATTTAATATAACTGTTTCCAGGCTGGTGGGAAGATCCGTCCATGTGCAAGATTTGCTTTGTGAGTTGTTTTCACTCATTATCAGCTTATCTAGAGTTTCCAAAAATTCTTTTACTGCTTTCACATCAGCACCCACAGACTTACCATCCTTTTCACACTACATAATGAACAGTCATCCTTGAATCATTTGAACTACCCAGAGCTAACAGTAAATTTAACATTTTAGTTGTAACCAGTCTTCCTCCCTCCCCAACACTGCAAACAAACTTTTTGCTTGGGCTATAATTGTCATGGTGATAATGAACTGATCTCCAATCTAGGTTATTAGAAGTACAGGTCCTTCTTGAATTTTTGATAGTCTCAATGCCTCATTGGATCCTTTAATAGCTTCTGTCACTTTGTTCTTGTTCCTCAAGATCATCACTCTAGTAAAAGGGGACATGCCTGGCTGGCAAGCAATAACCATCTCTTGATTTCCCACCTTCCTTCTCCTTAATCACTTTTAATTTTGTTTCTAGTTCAATCATTTGACATGGCCTCTAATTAACAACTTTGCAGTGGATTTTGTAGACTTTGGGGCCAGTATGAACAGAACAACATGACGGTAAGTCAAGCATTAAGGAAAATGATGCAGTCAGGAGACACAGTGAACATGAGCTAAATGAGGCAACAGAACACTGCAAACTGCGTTATAGTAAACTTTTGTGTGTGTGTGTGTGTGTGTGTGTGTGTGTGTGTGTAGACAGACAACACTCTAAAATAATTATTAATAGTAAATATTAAATCAGTAATAATCATTTATTATCATTACCAAGAATAATGTCCTGTATATAATTGTATGTGCAGCACAGTAAGTTTGTTACTTACTGCACCAACATCACCACAGACATGTGATTACTGCATGGTGCTACGATATTACAGTGACCAGGCACCAGTGGGTCATAGGAATTTTTTATCCTCCTTGTAATTTTATGGAATCACCTTTGCATAAGCAGTCCTTTACTGACTGAAATGCCTTTATGCGGTGCATGATGACATAGAAACTTTCAATTATGTTAAAAAACAAAGACACTCATCATCACTTCTAATTATTTCACTAGTATCTATTCTCTTGAGGCCACTTATTGCCATTGTAGCTACAGGTCAGAAATAGAATGGAGTGGTATTTCTGCACTTTTCTTCCTAACTCCATGTTCAGTGGTATAACACTGGTGGCTTCAAAGCAGCCTTGGTGGAGATTGGCAAATACTATTGGGCCTTTTTTTTTCTTTTCTTTTCTTTTGTGTCAATTGTTAAACATTTACAAGTACCCCAGTTGTTCATATGGGGTTACTGCTGTGACAACCGAGTTTTGATCCAGTTGGGAACCCTCTGAGAAACTGCACAGACCATGACAGATCAGTATTCTACTGAGGGCTGAGGAACTCTGGGAAAGTTATCCCTCAACAAATGAAGCTTATGGCAGAGCTAATGACCTACCTGTCCTTCCCATG